CATCAGCGACATGAAATATAAACGCGGGGAGGAGGGGAGCGCGTGGCGGGGCGGATTAAACTTTCATACCTTTTACCGGCAGGGTCCAGACCCGGCGGGGTCGGGGTGGGGCGGGGCGCGGCCGAGCACAGCAGCCTCCAAAACCAACACCGCTGCCGCGGCGGTCAGGACAAAACTCGACCAGTCAAGCCGCACACACACGGGACTCAATTTGTCGTGCTAGCGGCGTTTTATTCCTTTTTGTGCAATTAAATTTTTAAAAGGGTCGGCTGTCTCTGTGTTAGGGGTGTGTGTGTGTGGTTTTTTAGCCCGCCCTTCTGCTTTTAAAAAAGCATTAAAGCGGGCTTATGCAACCGCTCTCGTGTCCGTCCGTCCGTCCGTCCGTCCGTCCGTCCGTCTGTCCGTCGTCCGTGTAAGAGGAAGGAGATGAGCTAGAGGTCTGCAAACTTCAGGGTATCTTAGGGGTCACCCCTGGACAACGAAACGCCTGGAGCAAATCCTGGCAACCACCCCTAAGGGGGTGAAAGGGGGAACAAAGAAATGGGGGTTGGTCCAAAAAGTAGAAAATCAAATTTTTTTCATGGTCTCCTAAGGGGTAACTCGTGAAAGTAGAGCCCTGTGGGCGAAAATTTCGTCCGTTTGACCCTATCTTGCACCGTTTGGGCGCTAGAGTGCTTTTTTCGACGAAATACGGCGAAAATGGCCGCGTTGCTCATAAAGACGTACAAGGAGGCGTCCAATCGTAAAATGTCAGGGGAAGTTCCCCCCCCAAAACAAAACATTCTGAATCAGAAACTAGCCTCGGATTTGCCGTATCTTTTACTGTTTTGGCCCTAGAGGTGGATATATTGAAAACAATAGCAGAAAGTCAAGTTTTAGGACTGTTTGACAAACAATATACAATCTAAAAACTGCGCTGGTTCACCTTTTTTAATTCTTGAGCAAAGCAGAAGGGTGGGGTGTAGTCACGGTGTTGCCCCGTTACAGTCTCTTGTCATAACCAGGGGGAAAATTTCTAGGGCCGCAGGCCCCCCACCGGACGCTTTAGTTTACTTAAATATGCAAAGTGATTTACCGGTCACATTATTTATTTGATTATGCACTTCAGTTAATTGCGAGACTGAAAT